CTTCAGTACATGTGACATTGTGGAACTATCTGTGCTGGGACTACAGAGAGGGTTCTGGGGTTAAGAGCACTGGCTGCTCTTGCAGAGGACCTGGGTTCAGTTCCCAGCACCCATATTAGGCAGCTCACAACTGCCTGTAATTCCAGTTCCAGGGAATCCAGTGCCCTCATCTGGTCTCCATGGGCACTGCATACAGGTGGTGCATATGAATACATTCAGGCACACACACATAAAAATAAATAAATCTTTAAGAAGAATTATCTGGATACCTCTCTTTTCTCTCCCAGAGTGGAACATTTGGAAGGTGTTGATCGGAACTCCTTTTGGAGCTCTCTGACCTCACCATAGCCACAGATGGTGAAGGTAGCATTTCCAAACTTCATTCATAGCCTCCATTTCCAAAGGCAGGCAGAGCTAGAAAATGGGGATTCAAGATAAGCAGGTGATGGGTCAGAGCTCACTCAGAGCTCTCTAAGATGAGAAAGCAATTGTTTTTTGTTTGTTTGTTTGTTTGTTTTTGTTCTTGAGACTGGGTCTCCCTGTAGACACAACTAGCCTGGAACTTGCTATGTAGACCAGGTTGACCTTGATCTCATGGAGATCCTCCTGCCTCTACCTCCCAAGTGCTGGGATTAAAGGCATGTAACACCACACCTGGCAAGGACAATGGTCTATGGTAACCTCTTCTCATTCATTTGCTTTTGTTTTTGTTTTTGGGGGTTTTTTGTTTGTTTTTTTAATGAGACAAGGTCTCACCTAGCCCAGGCTGGCCTCAAACCCATGATGTATGGAAGATGACCTTTTTGCCTCTACCTTCCATGTGCTGGGGTTACAGGCATGCACAACCATGTCCAGCTCCGTTTTCCAGATCAGACAATTGAAAGGAGGTCCAGGGAGGCAGAAATGCATCTGTAATTCATGCTTCTTGATCCCTAGGCAAGGTCTCTCTCCAAAATCTTATGCACACACACATTTCTCCAGCATCATAACTCCACTTCAATTAATGCTGATTAGTCTACTTACTCAGCTCCAAAATGTCACCCAGAAACAGAGGAAACAGACATTTTCAACTGTGTTGGGAACAGAAAAATGCAAGAGCTCTTTTCAGAGCCAAAGAAAGCCAAGATACATGTAAATGGAGTCCCAGCAGCCTGCTCAAGGCAGCCTTGAGCTGTCTCAACCTGCCAGGTAATTTCCGTTTCATGCATTTTTTTTCTACCTACATCAGAGATGAGTGGATTTGAAGTTAAGTGTCAATTGACTGACTCAAGGGAGAGCTGAGAAGTCAAATGATAGACCCATATGTACGCTCCCACAGCACAGCACCTCATGGGGGGACTTTGGGTTGTACATATCTGGCCTCCTCTTCTTTAGCAGTCTCCACTAAAGTGGACATCTCTACACCCAGAGGAGGGATGAGAATCGTGCTCACTGCTCTACCCCTCCACTGGCTCAGGGTCAGGTGTGAAGTAGGTACTCAGTTGACAGCTGCTGAATAGATAAACTACTATGGGCATGAGTTAGGAAGTGAGCTAGAGGTCTTTGTCCCATATTTATCACTCACAAAGCCCCTCAGAAGAATTTTCAAAGAAACACACACAGAGAAACATATACATATACATTGTGCTGGATAGCGTTAGTGTCAACTTGACACACCTGGGTTGAGGGAGCCTCAATTGGAGAATTTCCTCTAGTGGACTGGCCTGTGGCCATGTCTGAGGAGCATCTGCTTGATGAGCGATGTGGGAGGGCCCAGCCCACTGTGGGTGGTGCCACCCCTGGGCAGATGGGCCTGTGTTGCATAAGAAAGCAGGCTGAGCAGGGGCCAGGGGAGCAAGCCAGTAAGCAGTGTTCCTCCAGGTTCCTGCCCTGAGTTCCTACCTTGGGCTCCCCGATGAACTGTGACATGAGATGTAAGCCGAATAAACCCTTTCCTCCCCAAGTTGGGATTGGTCAGAGTGTTTTGTCACAGCGATGGAGAAACAAACCAGAACATGCATGGAGGAGGGCCTGGAGAGATGGAGACCTGTAGAGATCAGGACTCAAAATGGTCAGAGTATTTTGTCACAGCAACAAAAAAAAAACAAAGACACCAAAAAAAAAAAAAAAAAAAAAAATAGAATCAACAGTGGATGAAGCAAGAAGCCCTGTAAGAAACAGCAGGTGATCTAAGGCTCGTAAGTGGACTAAGGACAGTAAAAGTCAAGCTACTATTAAGGGACAGAACTCCAGCAGCCCATGGTATGTCATGGTGAGACAGTTAATCCTGTGGTCCCTTAGAACAGGGCACCCTTCGAAGGCAAAACTTTGCAGGACCTGGCAGCTCCAATTATAAAAGATCGTACTAAAGTCAAGTCAAGTCAAGGTGGTTGTGCTAATGGCTGTATAGTGAAGCAATGGCCACTGGAGGCCCCTCTGTAGGTACGCTGAGTCAGTGAAGTTCAGGTTATGTATAAGCATGGTCTCCAGGAAGCAAGGAACACTGACCAAACATACCACAAGACAATCCCTTTGGATGCATGGCAAAAATATTAGTAAATGGGTTGGAGACATGGCTCAGTGGTAAGAGTGCTTGCCTAGAATGTGTGAGACCCTGGGTTCGATCTCCAGTACTCAAAAAAACTAAGACATTTATATTCATCTTTATGTTTACTCTTTAAAGTTTTTTGTTTGTTTGTTTGTGGGGGGTTTGTTGTCTTTTTGACACAGGCTATCCCTGTAGCTACAGTTGTCCTGGATTTGCTGTGGAGACCAGTGCCCTTTAAAGTTTTTTTGTTTTTGTTTTTCGTTTTGTTTTGGGTCTTTTTGAGACAGGGTCTTCTGGTAGTCTCAGCTGGCCTGGAGCTCACCATGTAGACCAGGCTGGCCTTGAACTCACAGAGATCCACCTGCCTTTGCCTCGCGAGTGCTGAGATTAAAGTCCTGCACCACCACGCCTGGCTCCTTTTTAAAGTTTTTACTTGGGGGTTGGGGATTTAGCTCAGTAGTAGAACGCTTGCCTAGCAAACGGCCCTGGGTTCCGTCCTCAGCTCTGAAAAAAAAAAAAGAAAAAAAAAAAAGGCAACTAAAGTTTTTACTTGTGTCTCTCTCATAACGCATGTAACAATTGAGTATTGTAGCACTTGGACATAATTCATAAGTAAATATATATAAGTATATTCAGGGTTTTACAGACAGAGGTTTGCAAACAAACCTACAAAGCCACCAGGCTTATGGCCCAGAAAGAACCTGGGATTCACATGATGGAAGGAGAGAACAGACTCTGGCAAGTCCTCCTCTGACCTTCCTGCACCACCTCCCTGAGAGCCCACACACATACAATAAAATAAATAATAAATAAATAAATAAATAAATAAATAAATAAATAAATCAGAGAACATGGGACTGGAGAGATGGCTCAGCGGTTAAGAACATTGCATGTTTTTGCAGAAGACATGGGTTTGAATCCAGCACCCACATTGCATAGTATAGGTGCACTTACATACATGCAGGCAATGTACTCATACACATAAAATAAAAATAATAAATAAAATATTTTTTTTTAAAAACAGAAACAGGTGAAGGAATAAGAGGAAGAACTCATGTTTTTAGAGGCTTACAACCAAAACTACAAGACAGAAGCTTATAGAACCACACTTAGAACTCCAGGTTATGGCTGAAAGTATCCCAAGGGGTTAGAAGGTGGGCTATCCAGGATACCACGCCTCAGGCAGCACACCTTAGACTGACCACTTGTCCATCACGTATTCTCCCTTATGTAACCAAAACTCCAGGTAATGAGGACCACAGAGGTGACCAGACACATCTCTCAATACTGCTGTCTACCCCTGACTGGACCCTAGCAGTGACTCCACCTCCGCTGAACAGCTGCCGTCTCACTGAGCCTAACCAACTGGGCACCGGGGCTGGAGAGGAAGGGTCTGAGGTTTGGGATTTCACCTCCCGTTTCCAACACGCCTCCACCCACGGGGACTCATCCCGCGACGAGCCACCTTCCACGGTTAGCCAGGTGACAAATGGGAGGTGCAGCGGGAAGGGCAGGAGCCGCAGACACAGGCTCCCAGGGAGGTGGGAGGGGCTAGCCCAAGCAGATGGGGCGGAGCCAGGGTTGTGGGCGGGGCCTCGGGTGGGGCAGTTTCCGGCCCTGCAGGTGCACGTGCTTGGGCGTGCTTGCATCCCAGGTGCTTAAGATTCTTGCATCATATTTGGGCCTTACACCCACCTCTTTTCCCTTTTCGAAGGGAAAGAGCTTCGACCCTTCTCTCCTACAGAACAGGGCCATGGCGGGAAAGCAGGGCCCCTCTGTCTTGCAAGAGGCATCTGAGGCAGTGGGCAAATCATGCTTAAGGCCTGACCCTGGCTTACATGCCCACACGCTTCTGAGCTAAGTTACAGCAGAATTTCCTGTATGCCTCAACTTCCCCAGTTAAACAGATTAAATGGATAGAATGACGATTTAGGCTTGTTTCTCAGCAGTTACCTTGGGCAAATTACTCAACCTCTCTGCTGGCATTTAGTTAACTGTAAGATAGGGTGATGTGAAAGCTCTCCACATGGGGAGACAACACACACTCCCTTTCTTGGGTATTCAGAGCAGTTTGTGCCCTGCCTACTTGAAAAAAAATCACTCACCAAGGCAAAAAAATCTGGTCTTCTAAGTTACAGGGGAAACTGAAAATGTCCAGAGCACCAAACAGGCAGGGACAGAGGACTAACAGGAAACTGACAGGCATCAGCCGCCTCAGGTCTTCCCAGGATCATCCTCAGCTATCTGAATTACCCTTCAAAACCAGCAGTTTTCCAGGCATGGTAGCACATGCTTAAAACCCCAATACTCTGGAAACTGAGGAAGGAGAATTACTATGAGTTGCAGGCCAGCCTGGGCTACATAGTGAATTTGAGGCCAGCCTCAAACTGGTTAAAAACAAAACAAAAAACCCACAAAAACAAAATCAAAATAGAACAAACACAAAGAAAAACAAAAAGAAAAACTTGAGCAATTGCAAACTTTATAACTTCATTTAATCTTTTGTAGAGGCATCTAGTCTGGAAAACTCCAGCGTTGCAGGGGGTTTGGTCCAGATGGAGCAGAGCAGCTTTTTCTGGCTATAGGCTCTGGCTTCTGCTTCAGTGCCTTGTGGAGCCTGTCTTCCCAATCAAAAGCAAGCTCTTGAGGGTCTCATTCTTCTCTTCCGATGCCAGGCTCCTCTAGCATCTTCTATCCATTCCCTGCTTCTTTGCTACTCAACAGCCATCACTATGCAGAGTCTGAGACCTCTTTGGATGTTGGACATACAGTCCTAGCCTGGCCCTTGTTCCACATAGGTGAGCAGTCAGGCAAGCAGGCTCATGCACCCAGGGCCTGGCAGGAGAACTGCCTGGCCAGGCTCAGGGCCCTGGGTCCCACCGGGAAATGTGCTCCTGGGCTGAAAAGGAAGCAGAACAGGGTGAGGCAGTCCTGGAATGGAGACCCCACAGTGTATGGCCATGTTCTCTCATGGAACTCCAAACCCTTCTAACAGATGAATGCTTGGAGCTGATATTGGTCCAAGTTTCACCTCTATCCTTCCCTATAGCGTACTGGGCTGTAGGCAATTAGGGCACATTAAGGGACCTGATGGGTCCCAAGGTAGCAGCTTTCATGATAGAAAGATAGAGAGGCCTTGGAGAACTCCCCAGCAAGATGTGGCTCCAGTCTTGCTTCTCTGCATGAACTTGCTATGTGATGCTGAGCATCCTCTTCCTCTGGGCCTCAGACAGATGCATATACAAGGCCCTGAACAGGAAGGATATCTTCTCTGACCCTATATGCTCAGACACACTCTGCACCTATGATTTGCACATCCTAGCAACCTGGAGCACACCATCAGTACATCAGTGGACAGAAATCAGAGGGTGGGCTCACCAAATTGACAGATATAACGGTTTCGAGTTTTACAGCGTTGGTCATTCCAGTTGAAAGCGGCAGATGCCTGCAGTTCCACACAGTTGCCAAACCTGTGGGGCCAGGATAGAGGTGCTTGGGTGGAGGAATGAAATTAGGAGTCTGGTAGAGTCTTAAACCCTCCACCCCAGTAGACCACCTGCATCGGTGAGGCCCAGGCACTTCCATTTCCCGTTCTGCTTCCCATGAACTTCAGTTCTTAGGGAAGCTAGGAGGTCTCTGAACCCCCTCCAGTACAGTACTTAGCCACACCAGGCAGTGGGGATAAACAGGCCCATATCCTTCTACCAGCAGGAGGACATATGCTGGAAGCCCACTCAGGCCTGTCTGCCAGCAAAAAGGACCAGGAGAGATATTTGGAGCCCTTGGTGACCCTACAAACCCACCACCTCCCCCTTGTTGTGGCACTCCTGGGCTTTGAAGACTGGGGCAAGGCCATATAACCAGAAGGGCATCTGTACAGGACAGCTGGTGGGTCAGCTGGTAGGTGAATGTGCAGGAAGCCTGCAGATGGGTGGATGCCAGAATCAATGAATTGACACAGGTAGAGGGTAGGTGGGCAAGTGGGTAACAGATGAAATGACAGCTCAGGGGACATCAGCAATGGAACCTGGATGAAGCCTTCTTGGGTCACCTCTTTTATGTGCTGTGCCTTCTACACCTCCTTCAACCTCAGCTCTGGGTCTGCAGCAGCTGGGACCAGGCTTCCCTGGTACCTAGAACCAGGTAAGGTCCAGACCCTCAAAGGCTAGATAGACGTTTTTCATTGGTGTTTGAGGCTTAGCCAGGCAGGCCCAGGTGAGAGGTGGGACCAGAGGAAGGTAGGCACCCCAGACTCACCCCTGGTTGTCAGGCTGCCCAAAGGCAAAACTGGTGAAGGATTGGTGCTCCCCAGTAGTCCAGCGGAAGGAGTCCTTAGCTGCCTTGTAGGTGAGTCCTGGGCCAAGGTAGCCAAGATTGCCAACCACCTGAGAGTCTAGGACTCTGAGCCCAGGAGCTTGCTACATAATGCCTTCCAAACTCCTAGCTCTTAAACCCCTCTTTGCAGAACCCCTAACCTTGTTCTTTCCTCTCCCCATGATTCTCCCCTCCCTGTAGCCCTCTTCCCAGGGAAAGGGGTTGACCTGACTACTGGCCCCATTCTTTACTCCAAACCTTTGCCATACCTATGTTATCTGCTAGTAGGTGATTGGGGTTCCCACAGTCCAGATTTTCTGAAACCATTTGGGGCATCAAGTCCTCCCACCTACTACACCCTTCAACTGCCAGGCACTTACCAATCCAGTAATTCTTGGTCTCAAAATCACTGTCAGTCACCTCATTGGTGGTCTCCAGGCGGCCCAGGTAGAAGGCAAGGATGTCCTGCACTTTCTGGCTCTCGATCTGGGCTAGCACCCCACCTTTTCCCTGTAACCCCCCACTCTGGGTCACATTGGCAGAATCCCTAAAGTTTAAGCCCAGCACTTTCTGCCCATTTTGCTGTCCCACCATGACCAGGATCCTGAATGTGTATGCTTACTGGGCTGTCTTTACCCACATCTCCAACAACCTCCTGCCTATGAGAATGGGGGTCCTCTTCCTCTGCCCTGCAAGCTTCCCCTCTCTGTCTGTACAGGGGTCCAATTGGCAGTTCATGGGTCCAGGTATAGTCCTTCCCTCAGAAGGTTTTTGTCTTAATCACACAATACTCAAACTAATTGGCAACATTAATAACTATAGGCATGCCAAGGGAAATCCAGGTTTCTGGTTTTAGAAAACTCCGAGTTCTGGAATCCCAGCATGGTAACCACTAGCCAGAACTGAGTCAACATAGCTCCTTAGGGAGAGGTGGGGTAGGGGCCTTATCCCTGGGAATCTCAGGGGGTTAAGTGCCCTCTTTGCTTCTATGAGCCTTCACTCTGTGACTCCTTTATACTGATGAAGAGAATGGGACCAGAAATCAAAGGAACCATCTTTTGGTACAGGGTCACTCCATTACTATTTGAGATTCTGATGTGAGGGTAACTCCCTGGGAAGGCAAGAGTCAGTCCTCACCTGACATTTCATCCTGGCTCCATAATACGTATCTGCCTCTGAAGACACCATGAAGCAATCTTCATCAATCCTCAGGTCACAGGTGTGGAAAGGAAACTTCACCTTGGCTATTAGGGGCAAAGAACAGCCTAAGTTTGTGTTCTGACCTCAGAATCCTTACCCTTTCCCACTGTACCAAGGAGCTATGCTCAAGGTGCCCCAACCTGTGGGCAACTACTCTAAACTGGAAGTAGGTGGAAGTCAGTAGTGTTTTGGTAAATTTGCAATTACAAGCTTTCTCCCTCTCTCTCTTTAAAAAATTTTATTTATTAGCCGGGCATGGTGGCGCACGCCTGTAGTCCCAGCACTTGGGAGACAGAGGCAGGTGGATCTCTGTGGGTACAAGGCCAGCCTGGTCTACATAGTGAGTTCCAGGACAGCTGGGGCTACAGAGAGACCCTGTCTCAAAAAGACCAAAAAGAAAATTTTTATTTATTATTAGTTTTTGGGGTTTTTTGTTTTAATAAATTAATAATAAATAAATAATTTTTGAGGCAGGGTCTCCCTGTAGCCCCAGCTGTCCTGGAACTCACTGTGTAGACCAGGCTGGCCTTGAACCCACAGAGATCCGCCTGCCTCTGCCTCTCAAGTGCTGGGACTACAGGCGTGTGCCACCACACCCAGCTATTATTAGTTTTTATGTGTATGAGCGTATTGCTTGCATATATGTTAAGTGCACCAGTGTCATGCATTCCCTATGGATGCCAAAAGAGGGCATCAAGTTCCCTGGAACTGGAGTTACAGAAGGCTGTTAGCTGCCATGTGGGTGCCAGGAATTGAACCTGGATCTTCTGCAAGAGCAGCCAGTGCTCTTAACCACTGAGCCATCTCTCCAGCTTCTCCCTCTCTCTCTTAAAAAGAAAAGAAATCCAGGGTTGGAGAGATGGCTCAGCAGGTAAAAGCACTTGCCACCAAGCCTAATGCTCCCAGCATGATCTCCAAGATCCACATGGAAAGAGAGCATCAACTCCTACAAATTGTCCTCTGACGTTCACACCTTTTTTTGGCACACACACACACACACACACACACACACACATACATACACACACACATACACACACATACACACACACTAAATAAATGTAAAAAAGGGGGGGTCCATATCCTGTAGCATTTGCTAATTCCAGTGGTATAAATACCCCACTGTGGTCAACTTCAGGCCAGTGTGATTTCTCTCAGCAAGGAGTTAGAATAGCTTCATGCATAGGCTCTTATGAGCTGGTAAAGTCAGATCCAGCACCCCACTACAAAGGGTTCTTGAAGTGGTCTTGGGGCAGCACTCACTGGCACACTGGGCTCCTCCATAGCCGACATCGCAGACACAGGAACATTCCTCTTCCCGGAACCTGCCGTGTACACACTGCACACTGCACCGCACTGCCAGGACAGAAGAGAAGGACAGAGAGCTCAGCTTCTAGCCACCTGGACCTGCCCCAAGAGGCCTGAGCACCTTAGGAATGCCAGTCATAGTAAGAACACCCTCTGAGAGACAGAGCCCACTGGGACATCTAGCTGCTGCCACACTTGGCCTCTCTGGTTTGATCCTCAGTGTAGAGAGAAGCAAGTTAAGGTTTGGAAGGTCATGGGAAGAGGACAGTGGCACACAAGTCCCCTTCTATCTCCTAATTCTATTAGAAGGGGAGGCAAATCTGATTCCATTTTTTTTTTTTTTTTTGGTCTTTTTTGAGACAGGGTCTTCCTGTAGCCCCAGCTGTCCTGGACTATGTAGACCAGGCTGGCCTTGAACTCACAGAGATCCACCTGCCTCTGCCTCCTGAGTGCTGGGATTAAAGGCATGTGCCACCATGCCTGGTGTAATTTGTAGCCCAAGCTAGCCTAGAGCTCACTATGTAGCCTAGGTTGACCTGGATCCCATGACAATCTTCCTGCCTCAGCCTCCCAAATGCTGGGATTATAGGTATAAGTCATCATGCCTATCTTGCATTTTGAATCACCTGCATAGCTTAGGGCCTGGCATACAGTTAGTACTGAATTATTATAATTGAATAAATTATTATCGTATGCAAACCCAGTAGATACATAGTACCCCTAACTTACCTGAGACTCCCTCAAGGTATTCCAAGTCTCCAGTCACCCTAATCATCCAACCATCCCACTATACCAGCCCTAGGATTTACCACAGGGCAGGTATATGCCCACCTAGGTGCAGCTCCCTCCTCCTTACCCCTCAGGGCAACCTAAATGGGCACTGGGTCCTCACCTTGGCAGTATCTCCCTGTGTAGCCAGGGAGACAGTGGCAGTGGCAGGTGCTAATATTGAGATGTCCATGATTCCGGCAGCTCATACGACATGGATTTCTGGGGACCTCTGATTAGATGAGGAAGTAACTCTGAGAAAGGGCCCCTTTCCAGCAGGCCAGGCAGGCACTTCCTTGGGTGCTGGGGCCCAAGGTTTCTGGGACAGCTCCTCAGGCTACTGGTCCCCATCCTAGGATCATCACTCTAAGCTCTTGTGTATTTGCTGCTCCAGGAGGAGGCAGATAGGGTGAGGTACTCACCACAGAGGCCCCCTGAGTGGTCCCAGGCCTTGAAGCATCCTGACACACGGGCTGTGCAGAGTGAACACCAGGTACCTTTCTTATAAGGGGCAATTGTCTTCCCGTTCACATCCCAGTTGCCTCTGTGAGAGCAAGCATCAAAAAGTCTGGAGAGCCTGACCTTGGGCAGAACAGGTGCAGGGCAGGAGTGGAGGCTTTGGGCAGAGTTGCGGAGGGGCCTCGTATAGGGCAGGAGCACATCTTGGCTGTCTGCTCCATGGGCCCCTTCAGTACCTCTGGTCCAGTCAGAGTGGCCTAGGGAGATCTACTAGGAACAAAAGATCACTTCTGTATTAATCCTGGACACGTTCCCTGAGAGTAGGGTCATGCTTCCAAGTATGGGCATCCAAGGACAAGTCCTGCTCTGCATGGCCAGGATCTTTTGTATCTTCTCCATTTTAATCCTCTTCCCTTTCCCACCAAGGGTACAGACTAAGGGGGTAAAGGACTTTAGTATGGTTGGATGCTCATCTCACCTTGGGTGAAAGTCCTTCATCCACACAGCCCTCCCGAGGCTTCCCTATCCCTTCACTCACACCCATCCCCAGCTATTACCCAGCCCATGGTAAGGGACTTACCCCGGGGAGTACGCACAGACAAAGGCTTCCATTGCTGCCTGGCCCACAGAGCACAGATGCCGCCCACAGCCCAGACGGCTCGAGGTGGCCCACACAAGCTGCAGAGGACACAATGGCTCAGAAACCCTATCAGACTAGCCTTACTTCAATATGGGGGCCTGCAACACAGGCAGTGCACACTGGGGGGGCTTTGGCCTCAATCCAGGCATACAGACAGCTCTTTCACCTGCCTGGGGGCAGCAGCTCTGCTGGGCAGAGCCATCAGAATGGTGAGAAGATTCTGGAGTGGAGGCGGGAGTGGAGAGTGAGGGCTACCAGATGTTGAAGGTGGGGGGAAATAATGAACAGGTGGAAGAGAGAGAGAAGAAAGGCTTGTATATCAAGGGCCTTGCGTTAGATTGTAAAAATGGTCAGTCACACTCTTTCACTTCCTCCTATATAGCTCACTCTTTTATGCTGGGGATGTAACCCAGGGTCTGACACATACTAAACAAGTGCTCTACTTCTGAGCTACATCCCTAGCTCACTAGCCCATACTATTTTTGTTTCTGTTTTTAAAGTAGGGTCTTGCTATTTAGTCCTAGCTGGCCTAAAACTCAATATGTAGACTAGGCTGGTTTGGAACGCCCAGATATCCACTTGCCTCTGCCTCTAGAGTGCTGGGACTAAAGATGTGAGCTACCACTGGATCACTTTAAAAAAAAAAAAAAATATTTTATTACTTTTTAATTTTATGTGAATGAGTATATTGCTTGCATGTATGTAAGTGTATCCATGTCATGCAATGCCCTCAGAAGTCAGAAGAAGGTGTTAGATTCCTCTGGGAACTGGAGTTATAGACAGTTGTTAGCCACCATGTGGGTGCTGGGAATTCAACCTGGGTCTTCTACAAGAGCAGTCAGTGCTCTTAACCGCTGAGCCATCTCTCCAGTCTGGATCACTTTTTTTTGGTCTTTTTGGGACAGCGTCTCCCTGTAACCCCAGCTGTCCTGGAACTCACTATGTAGACCTGGCTGGCCAGTTCAGGCTGGCCTTGAACTCACAGAGATCTGCCTTTAAAGACGTGTGCCACCACGGCCGGCTTTGTTTTTGCATTTTTAATTTAGGTTTGTCTTAAGTTTAATGTTAATTCCATGCTGTGTTTCAGGGTTTTTTTGTTTTGTTTTTTTTTGCATTAAAAAATATTTTTGGACTGGGTGTGGTGGCGCATACCTTTAATCCCAGCACTTGGGAGGCAGAGGCAGGTGGATCTTTGTGAGTTTGAGGCCAGCCTTGTCTACATAGTGAGTTCCAGGACAGCTGGGGCTACAGGGAGACCCTGTCTCAAAAAAGACAAAAAAAAATTTTTTTTAAGAGTCCATATGTATAGCTAAAGGCTACATGATAAGCAACAATGCCAGATAGGAGATACCCTTTTTTGAGTTTTGGCCAGGATGGCCCAAGTGACTCCCAGATAGTAACCCAGCATAGAACTGGGAAAATGAACAGCAGACCCCAATCTTATCTAAAGGAATATTGACAACCAATTGCTGCTAGATGAGGAACAGCTGACCTTCCTAAAACAAAGACCTCTAGATAGGCTGACTAGATTCACCAAATGGACAAGTAGTGGGGAATGGCTGGAGGTGACATCACAGCAGACAGTAGCAGGGATAACAGAGTATAAGGGCTCCAGTGGGGGGAGGGAGGCTATGGGAGGGTGCCATCTGGGAAGTGGGTGTATAGCTGAATAAGATGGTTTGGGATGTTCTGTGTGATACACACACACACACACACACAATCAACAAATTTTAAAAAATGAATTATATTTAAGGAGGGAGCATAGAAAATTACATCAAAGCCAGGCGTGGTGACGCACGCCTGTAGTCCTAGCACTTGGGAAGCAGAAGCAGGCAGATCTCTGTGAGTTCAAGGGAAGCCTGGTCTATATAGTGAGTTCCAGGACAGCTGGGGCTACAGGGAGACCCTGTATCAAAAAGACCAAAAAAAAAATTACATCATGTTAATTAGTAGAGGTGATAAACATTATTATTGAAATCTACCCAATGACTTTATAGACATACACAGGTGCCAAGGATCCGAGTGCAAATGATTATGACTAGTAATAATCAGATACATACAGATTAGAGACACATGTACCAACATCTCAGTGTTATTAGCAAAAACAATGAGTCTTTCTGTAAGAAACAGTATATTTTAAAATGAAATGGAGATCTTTTTTAAAGGTTAAAAACTCATTCAATTTTATGTCTTACAGGGCTTATACTGAGTTCAATATTGTATCACTATATTATTTCAACAGCAAACCTAAAAATTTTATAGCCACTTTTGAAAGAGATGTATCTTTGCTCTGGAAACTGTTAATGGGTATGTTAAAGCTCTAATGAAATGCTTCTTCTAAAAAAATAAAATATATTAAAAAATTGAAAAATAAAAATAAGGGGGCTCCGTAGTTAAGAGCACTTGCTGCTCTTACAGAGGACTGGGGTTTGGTTTGCAGCACCCAAATGGTAGCTCACAAACATCTGTAACTCCAGTTCCAGAGGAACTGGAACTTTTTCTGACCTCCAGAGGCACTGTATGCACCTGGTACACACACATACATGCAGGTCAAACACTCATAAACTAAAAGTAAATCTCAAAACAACAGCATCACCAGTGGAAATAGAAAACAGCCCCAAGTAATAGTGAAACTGCTAATATAAAATCTTATTGCCAAGAGGCCTAGCAAGATGGCTTATGGTTAAAAGCACCATAACTGGGGGCTGGAGAGATGGCTCAGCAGTTAGGAACACTGGCTGTTCTTGCAAAAGACGGGGGTTCAAATCCCAGCACCCACATGGCAGCTAACAACTGTCTGTAACTCCAGTTCCAGGGGATCCAACAGCCTCCCTCTTCCATCCAGCCTCTTCTGTCCTCCGCAGGCTTTGTATGACATGGATGCACTTACCTACATGCAGGCAATACACACATACACATAAAAATAATAAATAAAATATTTAAAAAAGCACATAACCGTATTGACCCAGTTTCAATTCACAGCACTCACATCAGGTGGTTCACTACTACCTCTAACTCCAGCTCCAGGTGCTCTGACGCCCTCTTCTGGTCCTGGTGGATATTTGCAGTCACATGCACACACTCATACACAGACACACACATATATATCTGATTAAAAATAAAAATAGGGGCTGTAGAGATGACTCTGTGGTTAAGAGCACTGGCTGCTCTTGCAGAGGTCCTAGGTTTGGCTCCAGGCTAACAATCATCCATAACTCTAGTTCCAGGGGATCTGATGCCCTCATCTGACCTCTGTGGGTATTGTACACATGTGGTATGCTTACATACATGCAGACAAAATGTTTATACACATAAAAAAATCACTGGGTGTGGGGGTGTACAGCTTTAATCCCAACACTCAGGAGGCAGAAGCAGGTAGATCTCTATAGAATCAAGACCAGCCTGATCTACATAGTGAGTTCTGGGTCAGCTGGGACTACAGGGAGAGCCGGTCTCTAAAAAATTATACACATACACACACACACACACACACACACACACACACACACACACACACATTAAAAACTTACAGCCAAGCGTGGTGGTACAGGCTTTTAATTTCAGCACTCAAGAGGCAGAGGCAGGCAGATCTCTGTTAAGTTCAAGGCTAGCCTGGTCTACATAGTTCTATGCCAGCCAGGGCTACACAGTAAGAATATTTCTCAGAAAAAGAGACTTCATATTAAAAATGCATATCAAGGAGATTAAAAGAGGGGCTGGAGAGATGGGTCAGCAGTGGAGAGCACTGACTACCCTTGCAGAGGAGTGCTCCTAGCATTTATAAGGTGGCTTACAACGATCTATAACTTTAGTTCCAGTAGATCTGATGTTCTCTTCTGGCCTCCACAGGCACCAGGCACACAACTGGTGGACATACATACGTACATGCAAGCAAAACACTCATACACATAAAAAGAAAATAAAGAGGAGTTGTGTATGATGGCTCACTTTCTGCAGAGGCAGAAGGATCACCACAAATTCAAGGCCAGCCTGGTCCATATAGTAAGTTCCAAGCCAGCCAGGAATACACAGCAAAACCCTGTCTCAAAAACATAAAACAAAGCTGGGTGTGGTGGTGCTTGCCCTTAGTCCCATCAAGTCAGCTGGGGCTACAGAGACCCTGTCTCAAAAACCAAAACTAAACCAAACCAAAACAAACAAAGAAACAAAAACCCTGCAAAACAAGGGGCTAGGGAGATGACTCACTGGGTAAAAGCACCTGCCACTAAGCCTGATGACCTGAGTTCAGTCCCCAGACCCCACATGGTAGAAGGAGAGATAAATCCTTCAAGTTGTCCCCTGAACTCCACGAGTGCCTTTTAGCACACCTTTAGTCCCAGGACTCAGGAGGCAGAGGCAGGTGGATCTCTGTAAGTTCAAGGCCAGCCTGGTCTTCATAGTGAATCTAGGCCAGCTGTGGCTACAGGGAGACCCTGTCTCAAAAAGATCGGGGGGGGGGGGAAGCATGAGGCTGGAGCGATGGCCCAGGTTCAGTTCTCAGCACCCATATGGGCAGCTAACAACTGTAACTCCAGTTCCAGGACATCTGATTCCCTCTTTTGGCCTCTGTGGGCATTTCATGACAAAGGTGCACCTACGTACATGTAAGCAAAACACTCATACACATAGAATAATAATAAATAGCTGGGCATGGTGGCACATGCCTTTAATCCCAACACTCAAGAGGCAGAGGCAGGCGGATCTTTGTGAGTTCAAGGCAAATCTAATGTACATAGTAAGTTCCAGGACAGCTGGGGCTACAGGGAGACTCTGTCTCAAAAAGACCCCCCCCAAAAAATTAAATAAAACAAAAATAAAGCAAAGGCCAGGCACAGTGGCTCACATCTGTAATCCCAACACTTAAGAGGTTGAGGCAGGAGGACTGCTATGAGTTTGAGGCCAGCTTGGGCTACAGAGTGAGTTCTAGGCTATGAGACCTACACACACACGAGAGAGAGAGAGAGAGAGAGAGAGAGAGAGAGAGAGAGAGAGATGAAAAAAGTAAAACTAGTTGGGTGTGGTGACACATGCCTTTCATACTCAGGAGGCAGAGGCAGGCAGATCTCTGTGAGTTCAAATCCAGCCTGGCCTACATAGTGAGTTCCAGGACAGCTGGGACTACAGGGAGACCCTGTCTCAAAAAGAGCGAAAAAGAAAAAAAAAGAAAAAAGTAAAACTAAACAAATTGGAACCCTAATATTTAGGACAAAGTACAGCCTCTTCTGAGAGGACTAGGGAGCCCATACCTTGGCTTGGCCTCACCTGGAGCACACTCACCTGTGTGTAATGGGTGCAGATAGCATTGTGGGCACACTCAGCATCCTCATGTCTATACTGCTGCCCTTCCGAAAACCAGAGGTGGACCACTTCAACAAAGGATGCTGAGCCCATGGGCAGTAGCTGCACATTCCAGCCCACTTGTGGGGTGTGTGGTGGGCTGGACACCAGGTTCAGGGTGGCTGGAGTGCCACAGAGGTCTGCCCTGGCTTGAGCTAATCGGGCCAGGTTTTCGCTCCAGTCCTGGAATAGTACAAAGAAAGATCCTCAGGTAGTGTGCATTAGTCTCTCCCAGTTGCTGTGACAAAATAACCTGACAAAAGCAACTTAGGGGAGAAAGGGTTTATTCAGCTCACAGGCCAGGTTACAGTCCATCACTGTGGGGAAGTCAAGGCAGCAGGAACTTGAATCAGCTGGTCGCATCACACCCATAGGCAAGGACAGACAGGGAAGAAGTACATGCATACTTGTTCTTAGCTCACTTTCTCTTTTTTCATATGGTTCAGGAGTCAAACCCAGGGAATGGTGACACCCACTTTTGCTTCCTGGCATTTTTGCTCTTTGAGACTGCCATGCAGGCCTTTTTATCTATAACAAAATGTGCCTGGTGAACTGCAAGGAAAGACTGCAAATATCTCAGGCTCCTACTGACTGTACAGTATGAAACTCATGAAACAAGCTTCCCTTAAGGAAGTGAAGTATAATATATGTTCAATGCCTCTTCCTAAGTGTAAGAAGCTGCTGCTTCTCACATTAATTAACATAATCAAGACACTCCCCCATAGATGTGCCCATAGGTCAACCTGATGTAGACAGTTCCTCAGTGAGACTCTTTTCCCAGCTGATTCTAAATTGTGTCAAGATGACAATTAAAATGATCACAGCTGGCCTTAGAGGTAGCAAGGAAGCCATTGGGTAATTAGTCATTGCCCCATTATCTTACCTGTGAGGTGCCAGGTTATACTGAGCATCCATGGGGTGCCAGGTCACGCTAACCATAGAGCACTGGACAAGCAGTCCTGTTTGACTATATTATGATCAAAGCTGTTTTCCTCATTGCACAGGGCCAGAGAAGGACCTCCAGAGCTCCCCAAGGTGTATTGGGAAAGCACAGGTAGTATCCTAGAGTCTGGCTCTGCCTAAGTGAATCTCCATCTTCCTGAGCCTTGCATTGACCCCTTTAGGCCCTGCCCAGAGAACAGTGCCTGCCTAGGCAAGGAGATGGGCTACTGCTGCCATGTTCCCAATCTAGTAACATCAACCCGACAGTGCCACACTTTGTAGACTGGCCTTGTGTTTTCCTTTAAGCCAAGCTGGGTCTGGCCACGGTCAGAAGAGTTCTGCTCTCATCAGGCCAAATGTGATTTTTCCAGGACTTTGACTGAGGGGCCTTGAGAAAGGTACAAACTGCCATCCAGCTGATCTTAACTGTGCCCTGCCTACAGGTTCCTTGGAGTAGAAGCACTTTTTGCCAGGTATCACAACTGGGAGGATCTTGCCCTCCTCTCCAGGACCTGGGCCTGAGGAGGCATAGAGCCACTCAGAGAAGGGGTTGGGGGAGAAGCAAACTACCCCTTCCTGCTCCTCCTCCACCTCCTGGGAAACTGACCCTTGAGCTTTCAAGGTCACTACTTGCTGTGGCTGCTAGCCTCAGAGGCGTTTATGGGAAGCAGTCATGGGGAACCCTGCTCACCCCTGCCCATCCGGCCCTTGCTCCTTGGTCTGCTCACAGAGGCTGGGGCTGCTGGGGTCCCAGAGGATGGAGGCAGTGTTTCTGAGCCCTTAGTGGTTCTGAGTCCCTAGGGGGCTCAGTGGCAGGAAAATTCATGCTCCCACCCCTGACTGTAGGCTCTGAAATGCAAATAATGAAGGAGTGAGGAACTGGGGAGAGTTTCCCTAATATTATCTAGATAAATCCTGGTCACATGGCAGCCCCTCCACAGCCCAGCGGGATGCTTCTCCCTCCCTGTTTTCTACCTCTCTCTTCTTACAGGACTCCTTTGTGTGACTCCTCATCCCCAGAGGAAGGAATCCTGACTCCTTCCATGTCTCTTGATCTCCATGGCAACAGGATGCCAAGGAAGGCTGAAGGTCTGCCCTTTAGGCAAGTGTGTGTCACTGAGGGGCCTGACCTCTTACAGTGAGGGTCTTCCTGGGAGGAGAAAGCCACATAGCCTCCCAGCAACCAAAACTATCATTCCCCAAGAGAAAGATACTGGCAAGGCCTTACTGAATCCCCTTGGGATGCCATCCCTCTGGTAGCCCTCTTTGATACAGAGGGGACTGGGTATACTCACCATTCTCTGCATGTTGGCCGCAGGGGGCTGGACCTGGCTGCGCAGGCGGTTGTGGTATGAGAGGAGCAAGAAGCTCTCCTTCCTGCTCAGGGCTGGGGGCCAGGAGAGAAGGTCAGGCCACTGAGCAATGGGACCTTGGACATCACCAAAACCAGGTGAGAGTACAAATCCACCCCAAGGACACATCTGACATGGGAAAGAGAGGAGTGGGTGCATAGGGTGGGAATTCCCAGCACAGAGATGGCCAGGGACCAGGAGATAGAGACAGGAAAGGAGGCAAGGAGAGATCAAGTCTAAAGCAATTCTGTTACTGACTGGCTGGGGTGTGCAGGATGATGGAGGAAATGAGGGTTCAGCCCTGAGCTGAAAGCAGCCCCAGACTGAAGTTCCTCTTTACCACTGTTTCTCCTGGGGCCTTAGCCGCAGGCTCTAGCCAGTAGCTTGACCCCAAACTATGAGCCCATCTGCTTTATCCTTCTTCATCCTCAACCTCGGCATCCTTCCACCATGTCCCCTGGATTGTTCTGTTGAGTCCCATAGATCAGGTCAACACGACATGGGGCTCAGGCCTGGAGTCCTGACTCCCTGAAGTCCCCTAGCATCCCTTCTCTACAGTGGCACTGCTGCTTCTGTCCTTGCCAAGGTATCCCTTACCTCCAGGAGTTGGAGCCTGCTGTGGCAGCTGGGGTCGTTGCACCTCTGCCCAGGTGATGTCAAGGAGAAACAGGAGCACAAGCAGGAGACCAAGCCAGCGTCCCTGGCCTCCCATGCCCAGGGACGGTTCCAGATGCAGCATGGGTCTGTCTGATACTGAGGACACAGCGTCACTCAGCCACCCAGCTAGCTTCCCAGGCTGAATGTAGCTATTCCCAGTCTTAAGGAATCCAGCTAGGCTGCCAGACAAAAGGAAGAGGCTGGTAAGTAATCATTGTGTCCAAACAGCCTCTGTGCTGGCTTGAAGAGTCATAGAACTCTTCTAAATGCCTGCTTACTCTGGCTTGCTTGTCTGGCCAGCCTGCCCCACCGACAGCAAGCAGAGCAGTGTGCACTGACCTTGCAGCCCCTGCTAATCATTGCAGGATTATTAGCACCCTTGGGGAGCCCCCAAAGGCCCTGCTGATTGGCCCACAGACATTCCAGGGCTGCAGATTAGCAACGGAAGGCTGTACCCTTGCTGGGACAATGTCCTCCAAGCCCAAAGCAGCTTCTACTCCCCAACCCCAGCACTAGCCCCAGGGAGGAGGGCTGGGGCTTTGGCAGTGGGCCCATAGAGCAGGCGGGAACTGGGCAAGACCCCAGGGGAGTTCTTCCCTTTCTTGGGAAGCTCATCCCAACCCTCCAGACATGAATTAAACATTGGCAGGAGGTAATTATACACCAGAAAAGTGTCACTGGTAGGGTGGTAGGGAGTGAGCTGGGGCTGTGCCTTCAGGAAGAAAGGGGTGCCTTACAGAAGTCTCTCTGGGCAGTGTGGGGGAATGAAGCCAGCTCTGGTGCCTGCCATGTGCCATGCTTACCCATGTGACTTCACATCAGGACAGGGCAAGGCAGAGAGGCAAGCACATGATGGATGCCCTCGGCTGACTTCAACCCTGCTGGGAATGAGTCTGCCTCTAGACACACGGGTTGGATGGAGCAGGAGGGCAACAAATTGCCATGATGTTCAGGGCCTGGCTGAAGCCTATATAAATACTCCCACCAGAGTAATTGAAGATTCTTACTGGATCTTCTTCTGACCCAGCCACCTCAAACACACCATGTGGCCGTCTTGGTCATGACTGAGAACAGCCACCTTTTTTAAAAAAAATTTATTATTTTTATTTTACGTGTATGTGTGTATTGCCTGCATGTATGTGAGTGCACCTGTGTTGTGTAATGCCGCAGAGGTCAGAAGGGGGCTTCTGATTCCCCTGGAACTGGAGTTAAGGACGGTTCGTAGCCGCCATGT